AGTTCGTATACAAAGAATGTGACACACGCGATAGTAGCTTGCGGTTGCTCATTGCCGGGTTTGCTGCTTGTGTGATCGAAGATGTCTCAAGACTAGAAGGTTAGAGAGGTTTACTCACTGATATACCTGCCTTCAAGGCAGACCTGGGTAATGAACTGTTGCATGCGATGGAGACGCTGTAAACCCGTAGGCTCCTTGGTGAGGTCAAGACACTGGGTTTTGAAACAGAAAGAAAGGTATGCATGCTCAGCCTTGAATGTCCCGAAGAGGTTGACGAAGAGAAAGCAGAAAAACAAGAACAAGAAGAGGATGAAAGTCGTACCTCCAGACAGGCTTATGGTCCGCGATCCATTCACTTTCTTTGCGGACAATTTCCAAAGCGTTGTCGCAGAATGGATTTCGTTGCTCGCTAAGACAACCCCTCGGACATGTGAGATTGCTAGCACAAATCCTCAATTAATCACTGCCTTCCAAGACGTGGATAAGTATCTCACTGGGAGACAAAGCAACTACCTCCTGCGGCGACTGGCATTTGTCCAACTTATGCGGCTGTCTGACTTTATCGAAAATATTATTCAAAGCGAAAGAGAAACAGGATCACCACGCCAAGCTGGCTATGGGGATGCGACTGTCGTGATCGAGCTCTACAAGAAAGCGCAAGGAATCTCTGATACAAAACAGTTGACCAGCATAGTCCGAGAGCGCAGGCGGATGGGAAGGCAATGGGAAAGGCTTGCAGGCCCTTCGCCTTTATTCCTCTTGGTGTACTCTAGCTACGCCGATACGATTGTGTATGAATATCCAAAGCATGTTGCATGACTGAAAACTAATATGTTTTATTGCCATTAGTCGCAGATCCTCCGGAGTTGACAAAACAGCTATGAGCATGCTGGCTACCCAAGTCCAGCAGACGTTCCCGCCCAAGCTTATTGATACATGCGTTCAGCTTACTGAAATGGCAGACACGGCGGCTAGGTTTAATCAAGATGAACAAAAGGACGCCATAAAACAGGTAACATATTACTTTCACTCGCTACGAGCAACAATGTGATTCTTCCGACATCAAGTTTGGGCCTCGTTGGAATTGTACCACCCTCCATATCACATCGAGGATAGGTCGTGGAGTGCAAGTTTCGGCGAGATCATGCAGCGTACGAGTATCATGGCATCTATTTCTATGGTAATGCTGTTGGTGCATAGTGAATGTTTGGGGCGCCGCCGAAGCCGGTCGCAGTTACTGGTAGCAGATTATCCGGGGACTTTGGAGGGGGTGACACCACCAGCAACAATCCGTTTGTGACACCACCGACGAGCAACGGGTTTTGCTGGTCTGGGGGATCTAGCTCGCCATTTGGTGCAGCGCAGAGATTGTCAAAGTCTAGATCCCCCTACTCACTTGTTTCCAAAACGACGGCGTTGGATACCTACTCGGGTTCGAAGGTGTCCTCTAAGCGCAAGCGTGCTACCACGGATGATGGCGAAGACCTGGGAAAGCACTCTGAGACTCAGCAACACTGTATTTCCCTATTTTTGAAGAAATACAGGATTGATGAGCACAAATTTCAGGCTAATGGTACTGATGGTACGGCGACGATGCTTACAATTGTCAGTGCATTCCTAAGCCATTGTCGAATATGGCACTTTGCTTACACATACGCCATACCTACGCTTATGGACTGTGCATGCTCACAGTTAGCAGCTGGCCTGCGAGCTTTCACAGTGGGGATTAGTGCCTCAGACTTTGTTCGCGATTTCGAATCGCTAGTTCGCTTTGTGCATAACGACTACGCCATGCAAGACTGCAGCCTGCGAGCGCTCATTGCTGAGTACGCTGCTTGCGTGATCAAAGATGCGTTGACATTCGAAGGTTGGGCAGGGCTGCCTGTGGACCTGCCAATACTTGAGGCAGATATAGGCTTAGCATTGGTACGGTCGATGCAGAAAGTGTAGTTTGATAGTCAAAATTGGTCTCCTAGATGTCCCCATATATCTGTGGTTCGCGATGCTGTGTAAAGTCTGTAGTTCTCTTACAACGAGGAGGGAAAGAGATGTCAAAATAGAATGTATTCCTGAAACCTCAACTAAATCAGTGCGCAGTGGTCTTCCACCACCTGCTGGCCTCTTCATACGACAACTGCGAAATGTATTGGGTAAGTTACAGTGAATGCTAGTGGCTACTACAGTCTTTGCCGACCTTCAATAGCAATACTTACGGGACTAAACTACTGTCCTGTTATTTCCCAATCCATAGGGTCCCCGTTACACTCACCGCCCCCGCCTGCCTGTCGAAGCTCGCGCTGCTTCCCCATCGGAATCTCAACCTCCTTCAGAGCAATAGCATACACAGCTTCCAACCCCCCCATTATTTCCATCACAATCCATCGCACATCACACATCATCGACAACACCTCCTCTGACTCTCCCGGGTCCTTCCATCTATTTCTCAATTCTTTCGCCTGCCACAACGCCTGATTCACACTTCCTGTTCCTAGAGTAGCGCGCAGTGAATCATTTTCATTCAGCGCTTTCAAAAATTTGTATGGGCTGTACAAAAGTCCGCTGCGGATGATTGCGCTTGCGACTCTTTGTTGCCCGCTTCGCCGCCTGTGTGCGCAGAGACGTGTCAGCTCTAGAAGGCTAGAAGGAATTACTCGCAGATTGTCCGACTTTTGCAAGTGATTCGGGCTTGAAATATGTGCGTGCAGCGCCGAAGTCATAGGTAGTGAAGATTGGTCCTCTAGACTTGGGAAATCGAGATTTATATCTGTCATCTTATCGCTTCTCAAACAGAAGATCAAGACGGACCGCCGACGTGGTCGGACTTGCGTGAAAGGAAGATGTGACAGTGTCGCAATCGATGCGTACGTTCAAGCTCGAGTTCCGCAGTCTAGCAAAGGTGGCAGAGACCGGGCAATAAAAAACGTCAGGGCGAGTAAGCGCTGGCACGCCACTCCCATTGTTCAGTGGAGTCCCCAATCTACCCCTGCAAGCAGTGTCGTCCGTGCCAAACACCACTGAAGCGAAGAAGTCAATGTGTTCTGTGATGGAGGATCAACCCCCAGGAACGGCTCGCGGCTTCCGTACGATATCGTTTCCTCCACATCAAGTATCTCCTTATCAGGCTTACAAATCCCATACAAGTGCACACTCTTTACTTCATCTGAAGACGAAAAGCTTGGAAGGCACTCGAACATTCAATAGCGCTGTATTGCTGTATTTGAGAACAAATACACGAAATGACTGGTCCTGCTCACAGCTGGCCTGCGAGCTTTCACAGTGGGTGATTAGTGCCTCAGGCTTTGTTCGCGATTTCGAATCGGTAGTTCGCTTTGTGCATGACGACTGCGCCATGCAAGACTGCAGCCTGCGAGCGCTCATTGCTGAGTACGCTGCTTGCGTGATCAAAGATGTGTTGACATTCGAAGATTGGGCAGGGCTGCCTGCGGTCGTGGCCATACTTGAGGCAGATATATAGGCTTAGCATTGGTACGGTCGATGCAAAAGTGTCTGGTACTTTGATAGTTAAAATTGGTCTCCTAGATGTCCCCATATATCTGTGGTTCGCGATGCTGTGTAAAGCCTGTAGTTCTCTTACAACGAGGAGGGAAAGGGGTGTCAAAATAGATTGTACTTCTGAAACCTCAACTAAATCAGTGCGCAGTGGTCCTCCACTACCTGCTGGACTCTTTCATGTGAGAACTGCCAAATGTATTGGGAAAGTTACAGTGAATGCTAGTGGACTACTACAGTCTTTGCCGACCTTCAATAGCAATACTTACGGGACTAAACTACTGTCCTGTTATTTCCCAATCCATAGGGTCCCCGTTACACTCACGGCCCCCGCCTGCCTGTCCAATCTCGCGCTGCTTCCCCATCGGAATCTCAACCTCCTTCAGAGCAATAGCATACACAGCTTCCAACCCCCCCATTATTTCCATCACAATCCATCGCATATCATACATCCTCGACGACACCTCCTCTGACTCTCCCGGGTCCTTCCATCTATTTCTCAATTCTTTCGCCTGCCACAACGCCTGATTCACACTTCCTGTTCCTAGAGTAGCGCGCAGTGAACCATTTTCATCCAGCGCGTTCAACACGTCGTGATGGTAAGAGTGACGTGACCATCCATTCAACGGAAGTCCACCAACCTTTGGTTTACTTGTCTCCCTTTGCACGGAGACCCTGAAAATGTGTAGTAAATTGACAATAGCCTGTTCAATTAACGCATAAAATCCTTCAAAATCCAGTTTAAAATTACACTCTGCGTCTTTCAAGGTGAAGCCGGAGGCCACGGGTATGGAAGTGCGGCGATATGAATCACTGAGGCCGATGAGCTTCCAGCGGAGACGGTGCCAGGTTTGTTCAAAGCAGCGGAAGGCCTGAAGACGGGTAGGAGTTCCTGCATCAGAGTACGCCGTGCTTGCTTCTTCCGTTGCCGTCATCATTGAGGCGATGGGCAGCGCTTGCGACGAGGCAGATCTTTGTTCATGGAGGCGTGTGTCGAACATGTGATGCGAAGGGGCCGAACGAGGTCCTCTCTTAGGCATTTTGAGGTGGTGACTTAACTGCGAGGTTAGATAAATTTCCGTGATGCTTTGCACCAAATTAATGAGAGCACAGTTTAGGACGCGTTTGAACAGTTATTTACGTGCTGCATAGATGCACGGTTTTAGATTGAGGTTCCCAGATCACAGACCTCAGCAGCGAAGTCTAAAAACCGAGATAAAACCCGCCTCGTCCACAAAGGACCCGTACGCCTTTTGAACGTAATGGCTAATGCATGTGTATGAAATCAAGAACATTGAAAGTACGTTTTAAGACGACAGCCTCTCGAGGGGCGGCATTCTCGAGTTTGCCCGTATTCAACAAAGGCGACCTAATGATAACGATGCTAAAGAACTCTCAGAGGTATTTGATCCCATTTAAAATATAAGATTAGATTCAGACTGCTTAATTGGAACCGATCATGATTTCCCCATAATATTAGCGCATACTAACTACTCTTGCGTGGTTGCATAAAGCGAACTCCGTTTAGATACCTTAAGCCGTAGCAGAAATTCAAGTGTTCGGTAACAGAATTGATGCATCGTGTTGCCCTTTGAAGATCTATACATAGTGCGATGGGATCGCCTCCTCAGCGTTTCATATACGACCAAGAATGACATAAGAATCTTAGGGCCACAGTGATCGAATCCGAATCCATTCTCACGTATCTTTATCCTCAACACGCCACCCATGTGCAAATTTTTATCGCTAATAAATTCGGCGAGAGCCTCATTGGTCTTCTGGTCTAGAAGTGTAAAATTCCGGCGGCTCATTCCCCGTGTATGCTTCGTTATCCAACGGAGCTCCGCAGACTCTCCGTGAGGGAGAAACGTTGTCCATTTGTACTCTTCCTGGCGGTGATCTTGCCTCGCTAAGTATATCTTCTTCTTCTTCTTCTTCTTCTTCTGCTCCTCCACCTCTTCCCAATGTGTTTCGTGTGGCTTATTAAGGTTATTAAAGCGAATATGGATCTTCCAAGAAGCCCAATGCATGTAGGATACAGCAATATCTGGAGAGGAGGTGTGCAGGTCAAGAAGGGTGAGTTGCTGAAAGTGATCATTAAAAGTCATTTGAGCATAGAATTCTCGTCGCTCCTCATCTGACAGGACATTGTAGCCCGGCTGCAATGGATCCCTCCATAGGGCAAACCGCCTCACGAGGGTGTCTGCCTCGTCGGCGGAGGCCACCGATGAGTCCGGAGCGAGCCAAGACAGGGGTTCCCGAGTCATTTGTTGAACAAAATAGCACTCGAATTTTACTGAGCACCTCGGCCAGGGTGAAAACCCGCTAAATTAAACCTGCATATATATATGTATATATACATTTAATACTGATGCTTACCTACGGCTTGTAAGCGTCGTTTAGTAAATACGCTACACGGAACTTAGAGGAAGGTGCTCAATTCAAGGTGCTAGGTGCCGCGATCGCAGGTCTCAATAGTGGAGTCCAGTAATCAAAATCCTGAATTGGAAACTAATCGCTCTGCACGATGCCGCTATTGGATAACAATTGATTCTAATTCAGAGCCGCACACCCCACTGTGCTATCGGCCCTGATGACGTATTCGAAACTGCAAACCAAAGAGGCCAAGAACCAAGAAAACTATGCGATTTGGTCTTCGATCGTGGATTGAGGATCCAAGCTTCAAGTGGCGGAATTGGATCATTGCCTAACTCACCATAAATACGATACTTCTGCTGATAGTTTCTCCCAGCTGACACCATTGTTTATCTAAACTATTGTAGCGTCGCCACAAATGGATAGTCTCCGATCACACTGAAGCCGCTTTGGGGCCACTTGATAGACTTCCCCAGGAGCTATTTAGTAATGTTACGCACTTTCTAACTCCATTGCAGAAAAAACGGATGATCGAAAAGCTCGATAATCCCGAAGAGAAATTCTTTAAGGCCGAAATTTTCTCTGCTTGGATCTGGAGCAAGATATTTAAGCCAAAGTCGTGGCCAGACCAAATAGCCGAGCGACTTCCGAACGAAGATCTTGCTCTTATTAGTCCTGATCTTGAAAAGCTGTCTCGTCATCCGAACGCTGACGCATTTCTACTACTTCTGGTACTTGACTGGTCATGCGATACTAGATACCAGAAGCCTGGTTTGTTTGAATCCTTCCAGAGCCCTGAATTGTATGACAAGCAAAGAAAAGAGATTAGGTTAGCGGGAACTTGCATCAAAGTCCAACTTGGTCGTGACCCGTGGGGTGAGGTAACCGAAGTCAGAGATCCAAGTGTGTTTCTCCGCCAGAGCAATGGGAAGCTATGGACGAATATTCTCTATTATTCTGATGACAGTATTCACACTATAGGAGAAGAGTGCATTAGAGGAATTGATGGGACCGAAGAAACAAGCAACATATCCGCGAGAGGTGTTCAATGGATATACTATTCAGGGATGGAATCGTGCGGGGCATGATGCTATTTGCTCATGAGAGGCCAACTGAGGTTTTTGGAATAAGATCAACTCAGAGAGGGGGATTAATAATAAGGTGGAGATTGCCGAGAGCAGGTGATGACTGGCGGCAGCTTAGCACCCATTATGAACACTAGATACCGGACCATACTAGTAACTGGTATAATTCAGCCCGAAGGGCGTTTATTCATGTACCATGTTTCCTTATCTTCCTAACAGTTCAGCATGGGAGGTTGGCCATGTACGGGAGTTTTGAGGGGGGGAGGAATGAGGCGGTCCGCGCCAACGAAGAAGCTGGTATGATCCGCCTCCAGACGGTTCGTGATTAAGAGTGCCTTGCTGTCCAGATATATCTTGTTGTACATTAGCGTGTGATGAAATCTAAACCCCCATCTCGCCACTCACATTCTGCAATAGGCTTTGTATCGTGCAGTGCGTAAGTCGTCGAGAACGGCTTCGCAAAGCAGGTCGATGTCCTTGATAG